TTTACTTTTTTTGGCAGTACCGATGCACAAATGTAATGATTGCTTGACGTCGTATAATTATAATATATACGAGGGTTGTCCAAAAATTCGTGCACTGTAGTAATTGTCGTGAGAGTTATTAATAAAAAGACATGAATTATATATCACTTGAAGGGAAAATTTATCTGTAATAAGAAAACAAAACAAAACCTGTGTACCCAACGTGTCGAGAAGAAAATGAATCATCATACAGTTACCTAGGTAACGTAATACCGGCGCACGACATAAAATTGGGTTAGTTCATTATTTTGATGTTTTTAGTGTCCTTAAAACATTACAATTAAACATCAAAATTTAGGAAAAAGTGTGTGTATGTTTCCAGACGTTACTAGAAAATATGACGTCATTTGCGCTTTTGTAACGATTGTGAACAAACATTTCTGTGTGGTCGTCAATACTGTCATTACGTGAAAATGTCAGTCTCTAAACGTCTGGAAATACGGATGACATTAAATTTTGCGCAAATATTGGTGAAACACCGAGAGATACATATAAAGAACTTAAAGGGGGAAGCGGGGCCAGTTCAGCGTCATGAAAGTCTGGTTTTTAAATGGCACAAACTCTCTTTAGAGGGGCGAGAGTCGGTAGACGATGACAACCGATCAGGCAGATATCCGTCCGTAATGCAGGCGCATGTGACGAGTGTTGTCCAATATATTCGTGCACTGGTGGAATATGCTACATGTACGTTGTATAAGAACAATAAAAACTACAGAATACTTTGCATCAATCATTCCTCTATTGACAGTAAAACAAATTATGATATACAAAGCAAATGCCACTTTACAAGCAACAAAAAATAATACAATCACAGTAATGAACTTACCCAATTTTTTGTCGTGCGACGGTAAGACGTTACTAAGGTAACTGTATGACAATTTTCACGATATGCCAGTTACACGGCTTAATCTTTTGGTTTCTCATTTGAGACAGATCACCCTTCAAGTGATATATAATTCATGTTGTTTTATCAATAACTCTCTCGACAATAACTGCAGTGCACGAATATTTTGGACAACCCTCGTATGTACTATTTTCCATTGTAGGAAGTTTGTTGACTGGTTATTACAGTGATTACGCATAATGTAGGAATGTGAAAAAAAAAAACCACAGGAACTGTTCAATAGGAACACCGAATCTGAGCCTATTTGGCATTCGGTTTGTGGCTTGGCTTTAATAGGCAAAATGTAATGTCACCCACTAGCATATGGATTTATCAAAAATAACTATAAATAATGTAATTTTTTACTCGTATTTATTCGAACATAAATCTTCAATAATTTCCATGTCATTAATCTATTAAAGCGTTAGTATTACAAAGCTAACAATTATAGCATACAGCAGTGTAACAATAAATTGTAAAAATAAATGCAAGACGCATACAAATTTTGCAATAGGATACCTTAATTATTTAACACCAATGGTGGAATGTGGAAAAACATTTTGTTTTTCAAATGTCAATGTATGTGTTGAATTAATAAACCATATAGTTCGAGATCAACTATAGAACTATATCTGCGAAGAACTCATGCAGAAGAAGCTTAAGTGACTAAAGTGACAACAGTGATTAAAGAGCTAGCTACAGTCTTCATCTGAATTTAAATGTCTGTACTTTCAAGATACATGCTGAAAAGATTTATAGTTAATTAACCAGTAATGGAGAGGATATCGATGCTAACCAATAGGAAGATGTTGAAGATCTATGTTGAAAAGACTATTATTTCAAAACCACTTATATTTAAAACATAATAAATATGTACGTTGGAGATACTTTATTTTTATACAACTCTTGGACAGATAATAAACCGATGTTGGATTATAAACTGTATTTCGACAGGCTGAATTAGTTAATAGCAACTTAATAAACTTGTTCAAATAACATGTACTTTTCGAATCTAGTTTAAAAAGCTCAAGTGTATAAATCTCTTTTATAAAGATAAATATTTACTTATATTTTTTGATTATCATAATTTATAAAATAAAAGCATACCCTGTAGGCTTTATCATAAACATATCTTTTCAAAACATGACTTTCTTGTTAAGAATACATGCTTTATGGAGAGTCTGTACTTTATTCTTATGTTATTATATAATATGCTATACTGTGTTAAAATGTAAGGATACTCGAGAGCTATGCAAAAGGAAAATAGTTGACAATTTCAGACTCCGTTTATTGATTCCGCTCATGAGATGAAATGAAATATATAAACCTTAGTTATAAAAGTCATTATAGCTCATAAACCTTTTTGGATAAAAAAACTTACTTTTAGGGAAAGAAGCAAAGTTGGTACAATAATTACTTAATTTATATAAGCCATAAAGCAAGGACTTGCACACAGAATAATATTTCACTCATATAATATATGTTAAAGGCAGTTATTTCTTTAATATATTGATTGATATATTGATTTTTCATAAAACTGATACTTTCTTTTATCATAATCATAATATAATTTGTTTAAATTATTGATATATTTATGTTTATTGCACATGGCAGATATAAAAGTTAAATAGTAGTTATTTTTCTACCAGTTTCTTATACCACTACTGGATTCTGGATTCATAATGGTATATGTAATCTCTTTTGTCATAATATTGATAATATCATGTTGAGAAAAAATAGAACAATCCCGAACTTAAATATTTACTTGCATGAAATGTGACAGTCTTATATTATATCATTTAATTATATACTTTTAAATATTCAATGAGCAAATTAGTATCATGTTTTTCATTAATAAAATAAAATGACCGGAACATAGTAAAATAAAATCAAAATGTTGATATTAAGCACACAAATGCATACTGTTCGCTAAATACATAAAAATTACAAATACAAGCGAATTTAGATAATTAAACAAAATGCAATTAGAAAACCGTTATAACAAAATATTTCAAAACTTCACAGTACACTGCAGTACTGTATAATAAAAAGGTAATCATATTTATACTTGTGTCCTTACATGTATTTAAAAAAACAATGAGTATTATTTTTAGAAGAAAAGGTAAACGTATTACTTGTTATGTTGTAAAATTGAATTAAAAACGTGCAAGATGTATATCACCTGAAGAAAACAGTGCTCGAAGAGGTGAACTATTTTTTAGATAGAGATTAGGAAAATGTCTTGGTTTTCATATAAGATACCAAAAGACTATAAATGATTTTTTGTCAAAACAACACTAAAACAATATTGTTCAAAATTATGCATGGCCAGTGAGTAATATGTCTTTTCAGAGATTGCAACAGGACACCAAACAAAAAAGGCTTTTGAAAATATTAGCATTTTCAGCTTTTTAACACGTATCATATCTGTGTAGTAATTAATTGATCATAAAGACGAATTTCTTCAACCATTGTTCACAACAACTCGCTCATATTATAGTATTTTTTCTTGTCGGAAATCTCAGCAAGATATTTTACATGTTGGTAACAAAACCTGAATTGTGCCTGAAATAAAGTAAATTGATAATTTAGACAAAAATAATAATAATAGTAATTAAATCATTCCATGATATCAATTGTCAATAACCGTATTTTTGTGTTTTATTTTATGTAATTTAAAACTTTCAGTCTCTCCTGGTAGACATAGGCAATGTTTTGCAATTGATTTGACAATTAGGCGAATTTTATTAACTGATAAATTTGCGATAAGATAAAGAATGGTAAGTAAATACATGTTTGCGGGGGTTTATATAAGATGTAATATTCTGAAATATCAGACAGGTTCAAAATAATGATAAGTTGCGTATACTCGTAAAAAGTTCTTGTGTAATTATTGATGCAGTGTGAAATGACATAGACAACTATAACTCAATAACTCGTCAAATACAACTTTAATAAGAAGCAAGAATAGAGAATATTTATCTAAACTGCAAAGGATAGCTAATTCACATGCATTTCATGACGATAGTTAATTTATTTTTTACTTACTTTATTACTAACAAGTATAATAAATTCTTATAGTGATATCTGGTTAAAATGCTCGTAAGTTAATGACTTACAATGTCAGTAAAAGCTGACTTCCTCCTTGAACGCAGTTGGCAAATGGTATTCAGGACACTAATTTCTTTCTCAAAGAAACACTTTTCTGATATGATAGAGACAGCACAGAATAAGCAGCTTCGGTTCAGCACCAGTCCTATAAATAACAGCATATATCACAAAACTATCTATATAATTATAAAGTATACATTTACATATTCAATTGCTTCCACAGAAGATTGAAGCCGGTTCAAACACACAGCTCTAAATATAGCTACACAATAAAAAACACGGGCATACATATATAATGATTCCTCTCATAAAGGATCAACAGAAATTCAAAATATGAAAAATTGATTTCGCAAATAGATTTGTTTTACTGTATTCCTAGAAAAGATTTCGCTCGTTTTAAGTTAGCGCTTTTCGCGATAGGCATGATTCCGCGAATCTTTATAGCCGCGAGTATGTCACTTATAACAAATCCGCGAACATTTCTAGCTTCAACCAAATATACACAAACGTGCAAAATATTTATTATAATCTAATTAAACAAAAAGCATATAAACACAGGTGCTATAGAATATGTAAAGAATTATGTATGTATGTTATAGATACCTGGTTGGACCCTAAGGAAAAAAATTGTCAATTATAAATAATTATCATGCTTATTGACGTTATTCGGTAGTCACGGCGTATACAAAAGCACTTACAGTTTGCTTACATTGAATGGCTTGAATTTTATTTGCTTGGAGTAGGTGTAATCCCTTGTTAAAAGTACAAAAGCGATCAAGTGCTACATTGATAAACAGCTATTATGTTGTTATAATGAAAGCGATGTACAGTCCGATACTGTGTAAAAAACGTATCGACATTTTGAAGATAAAGTCAGTTATGATTCAAATAACGGGTCTGACTATATCTTACCTACCGGCTCTTTTGTTAAAAGCGGTCTAGTAAATCACTTAAATTCAATACTTACAAGCAATGAACTACGATTGGTCTTTCTTCACTTTGACCTTTGACCTTATTCTCAACATCCTTGGCTAGCTTTACAAACGGTTCAACTTTATGTGGGACTTTTTCTGACTGATTCCATCCGTTATACTGGTAATGTTTCAAATGCAGCTCTCCTCCAGAAAGGTGCTTTATGTAACAAAAGTCTGTGATTAATTGTTCTCTAAATATAACTTATATAAAGTGGTTCGGTAATCATACATAATCTCATAGGAAGTTCTGGATTGAAATTATGTGATAATAGATATAACAATAGATCACTACTGACTAGCTACAACTCCCAAATCCTGCACACATTTCCTTTTTCAAAACGTTCATTGTTCTTGCAGGATAATGTTTGACCTTGACCAGTGAACAAAATGAATGTGATGTATTTTAAATGAAAAACAAAAATATTCGAATCTGGAAGGAAAAGCCGAAACCTTAATTTTATGCATCGAGACATCAAAAAGATCTGGCGTAATAATTCTCAGAACTTATTTTCGTCTAAATTAATATAAAACATCTACCAATCCAGTGCGTGATATTGTCATGTCTCGTATTGTACCATAATCCGTTGTGTCAACCGTCTTACAAGTTACTTGGAAATGACCAACTTTGAACGCCTTTTCATCTTGTGGTAAATAATGTCCGACAGACTATAATGAGTAATATTCAAAAGTAACAAACCTAAAAAAATAAAATATCATCTTTTACAAGTAATCTATATGAAATCAGTTATAACATTTGATCAGAATTTTTCGCGAAAATTCAAAATCAGTCTAAATTATAAATTAACATACAAACAAAATGATTTAGAATGCAAAAACCTCTCACAGTATTTAAGCTTTAAAGGTGATTCTATGTTTAATCCACCCCATCCTCCAGGTTCTTTTCATAGCTAACATTTGTATTGCATTAAATTTTGTTGTAAAACGACACTGAAACTAAATTATGTTAGGTATGGATTAATTTGCCAACCATTACTATTAAATAAAATCTTTTACATGTAAATAATTATTTTAAACAAGCTATATTATCTTTAAATGTGCACTTACTTTATCTTTTAGGTGTTCGTCGTCTAGACTAATGACACAAGCACATTTTTCTTGATAAAGCATCGATATAAAGTCTTCCACTGTATTCGACATTGGCGTCTGCGATACAATGAATTTTGTATGGATTTTCGTATCCCTGAAATTGAAAATACTGAGTAAAGTATAATTTTTACATAACATTATAACTTAATTATGCCGTTTTAAAGTATATTTAAAATTGCTCGTAATCATGTTAAAAGTATGAACGATTTTACAACACTTACTATTTCATATAGATCTAGACTTATATAAAGTCCGTCTACGAACGATAATAACGCGGGAATATGACCAGCTCCCAAACTTTTCTAGGATGAGTGAAAAGAAATTAAATATACGATGACAACAATAATGTAAGATTTTCGTAAAAATATCTGTGATTTTAAATAGCTTACATATATCCACATTGTGCTAATATAATAAAGAGTATTATTAAAATGTCAATTAAAATAATACAATTTAAATGCATTATGTATCAATTCAACATGAGGATATCGATCGCAACTTTTCGGCCCTTTCCGTCAATCTATAGAAAAGGACCTCGAACACAATAGTATGAATACACAGAACGGATACGGTATTTCGGTCTAACCTACTCTAAGAAACAAATAGTTATGCTGGGAGTTGTTGACTAGTATTTTTCCAATATATCATGTAAAGGCCAATCCAAAATAAGTTAATTCATAAATATACATGTACACAGTACAATATTTATATACTTATTATCATGGTTGTAGAAACCGAAAGTACAGCATGCCAACCTGTTGACACTAAGTCGGATTTGTATTTTAATCGTTCATCAGGGTTATATCTTAATTGAAAATCGTTGTCAAACATATTTTCAATAATATATTACCGAAACGGACTTTATTTTCCTTTGGATGTCAAATATATATATTCGTTTTACATTATCGAAGATTACACTCCCTGTTTCTGTTTACATCTGAAATCACGTTGTAGAACTACTTTCTATCCGTATTGCTTCCGAAGTTATTATGAATTATAGCCGAGGATTATCCGATTGAAGAGGATATCTATATATATTTTTATGAAAGAAAGGGAGGCAACGTAAGCAAAGTTCACGAAAAAATATTGAAAAGGGAGACAATCGAAACTTCAAAACGAAATCAAAATTACTTTCACTTGAATACTTACTTTTAATAAACAGCATTTATGTAGTCATGCTTTGTGATGACAGTACTCACTCTGTAATCATCGCCTACACATAAAAAGGATGACTATTTATTAAAATCTTAAAATGTTGAATTTAAATTTGTTTTATGGCTTTATGTTATAAAATATATTTTCGGCTTAAAATCACTTCCTAATGCACAATAGGGGATTACCCTGAAACCAAACCTAACAAACCATTGAATAGCCAAGATTGCCTATTTAAATGAGATTTTTATACAAATAGGGTATATTTACAGACGGTTATATTCTATACATCTTCGATTACTAACACAGTATGGTATTATAAGTGTGAATGGAAAAGGAAGTTTACCTATACAATGGCTATATGTAATGTGATATTGTTGAAATGCCAAAAATGTTCAAACTTTTAAGTTTTAAGAACGTTTGTAAACAATTATGAATTACGGGTTGGTTTTCTAATCTTCTTTTTATACAGCTCTAAACTTACGCTAACTGTAATAATTATTTTATATTTAGTAAATTTAATCAACTCTGTCTGCCAAAGGATCATTAGGTCAAAATTCTACTTCTATTTTATGTAATTGAAAATGTATTTTATGTATTAGCCCCATCCCCTTGTGGCACTGACTTATTTTCGAATTTGCATAGTTTACCAGGAATGTCAGCTCCGTGTCTATTTTCCTTCCTTATTTTCTTGTTAGCAGATGATTTCCCATCCAAGTCTTCCGGCATAACAACATCAGTAAATGTCTGAAATGTTCAGAAAGTCAACCACACCTGTTACTAAGATGATTCTTGTTCATTAGGTAACTTAAAAAATATCTTACAAATGACCATGACCTTTTTGATTTCTTTTATTATTTTTTTTCCTTTGCCAGCTTTATCCCCTTAAAACTATTTAAATCTTAGGCAAATTTCAATTAGACTGATAATAATGATCTTCTTAATGGTTATTATTCGATTTTACACAATATTCGTATGTTTAGATTATACATAAGGAGATAATTGATCAACAGTGAATTTTTAATCTCAAATGGGAGCGTTTGCGGATGTATTGATAACTTATTTGTTTAAAAGGAAGTGCAGGAGTAGAGTGATTACTATCAAGCACTTTCTTCAGAATAAACAGTATCAAGTATCCAATATGAAAACGATTTGCTTAAAAATATCACAGAGGAGAGAAACATGAAATAATTGGAATCAATAAAACAGCGAAAGTTTCCGTCACAATATTTCATGAACAGTTGAGTGTATGTTTACAGTCATTATACTGATTTTAATTAATCTAAAATGGAAGATATTATAAAACAAACAAGCTTTTATAATAACACAATTTGTATAAATATATACACATGTACCTGAAACTGATGTGATATTTTATCATCTGTCATCAAACGAGGAATATGTGTGACCGGAAGTGGATCGGGATCGCACGTGAGGGCATACAGAAGACATCGGTGAAGAAATATATACTGTTCCTAAATAAGAGAAAGAACAATACATAGTTCTGAATAACAATTATTATGTCAAATAATAAAAATACAACTTAAAATATATATCCTACTATAATATCCATCATAATAGATTGTAAAGAAATCACAATTAAAGTACATTGATGACAAACATGTGTTAAAAAACAAATATCATCCATATATAATAACATACCAAGTTTTGCACCATGTGGCCTCTTTGTCCACGTAGCGCCATCACACGACCAAAAATGTCAACATAATTATCATTCTTGCCTATCTGTATAAGTGTATCCAATGCGATATAGGTTCCAGTTCTACCGATTCCTGCACTGGTATATAAAAACATAGAAGGATGATAAAATTACATAGTACCAAAATCGATATGAATGTAAAAGGTTTTCTTTTTTATAAATGAAAGTAACAACTCAAAATATTATTTTTGGCTTTGAGTCATTACACTCCTGTAATAATATTTGCATTATATTACTTAATGCACATTCTTATTAATTCTTGAGATTAATTTTCGTAATGTGTATGTCGACATCTGACGATATATGGTTTGACGAGTCTTTGCAGTTATCAGTCATATATATCATATTAGTACAAACAAATACCTGCAATGTACTACCATTGGGCCAGCATCATTTGACTTTGATTGTTCAACTTTGTTTCTAAACTCTACCAGAGAGGCAACATTGTCTGGAACGGATCGGTCGGGCCAGGCGGTATAGTGATATTGTGTCACTTTCCTTGATCCAGAACCCTTTGAAATGAAAAAAGAACAACACACAAAATACATTGTTATGAAATGTGTATTATAATTTGAGGTCTGTTGTTTACAAATTTCAAGACAAATTAGTACAATCTAGGGATACAGATAACTTTTGATCAACCTTTTAGAAAGATTAAACAAGCAGAACATTTAAATGTCTTAAACGATAATGAAATCAAAGGTCATTACAACGTATATTTATGTTTTGGTACCATATAACATACCTGCACATTAACAGAAAACTCCCTTAAAGTGAATTCTGAAAATATTTTCTCAGCAATGCACACTACTTTGTATCCATGGTAATTCTTTGTTTTCCCTTGATCAGGCCAGTACTGCTCACATTTCATTTTCTATGAAGAAAGCAAAGCATGATTTGATATTTTTACTTTTATTAAATTATTGTGTCTCTAACCCAATTATACGTGACCCAACATTAATATTTGTACAATACAAACAATTATACGTAGAAAATAAAATACTTAGGTAAATGCATAATGTTCTTATTATAATGCACTATATTAATATAACTGTAAGAAAATGTTTATTTTAATTACGTTATGTAAGTGTCAAAAATATATTTCTAATGATTTAATAATATGTTTTAATCAGGCTGTATCTTTCTACAGATCTTTATATATGAAGTCAAGTTATTAAGGAAAAATACAAAAATAAATCAAGTTTTTTTTTCTGGCAAGTGTGTTAATATACAAACCCCAGACTCATCTAGATTGGTCAACATAATAATTTTATCTGTTCTTTCTTCCCATACCATCTCCCAAAAGTCTTTATAGCCATTCATTGTATCTTTAGTTGGTCCTTAAATCAGTAATGAGTAAAGAAATATAAGAGGAATATTGGTGAAAATATGACACCCTAAAGTAATAGAATACGTTAGTGGTAATTTCGCATTGCATTTTAATGACATTTTATTAGCTGGATAAAAATCCGGAAAATCGAGATCTCTAAGCGTAATGGAAATAAAGCGTTACAGACTCGGTTGTATTGGGTCTGTTCCTGCGAAAAAGTGTTATTTATTATCAAGTTAAATACTATTTTTAATACATTAACCAAGAATCAAAGAAAACTTGTCTGTAAGAATAAAAACATTGTGTGACCAAGAGACAAATATTTGCAGTATTTGATATGATTGTAGACAGTATTCACCAGAGTTGAAAATCGTTTTTTAAAATCATTGTTATTATATATTAATAACATTATGCATATATATCATCGGTTGTTCTAGTCACGGAAGGGCATCTGAGGTCTTTATTCATCGGTACAAGCTGAAAAAGTATGACCAAAACTGTGTTGGTGCGAAGTACAAACCAACTAATAAAATGTTTACATACCAAGAGAAGCTATGTACTCTGGTGACTTCTTGTGTCCCTAAATTATGAAACGTAAATAAATGTAAAATATTTCTATATTAAAATATCCAGAAACAAATATCAATGATAATTCTTGAATATTATCTGGTCAATCAATTGTTCAGTTCTTGGCAATGCAAATGCATGTGCCATTTTTTGTTTACATGTTTTGTAACAAAATTATTGCATTATTTAATTCAAGACTTAAGTATGCTAAACTTCATAAGTTATTCAATTATTATTTATACGTCTACAAAATATAAAAGGACCAGCAAAGGATTGTCAATGACAAAAATGTTTACATGTTTGAATATGTGCTTTAACTTTAACTATGTTACAAACATGTAAGTTTATACATACATCAATGTAATTTGCGTTGATGTAAGTTTTACTTTTTAAGACAACACGAGTTGCATCATCTGAAACAGCAGAAAATATATGATCTTCCTAAATGCTCGAATTAACTTAATAAGATATCTTACGCATATTTCGGAAAACAAATATTGCAGACATTAGGTGAAAGCTAGGATATTCTTACTGGATATGTTATGATTTATTTGAATAAGAGAAACACGCGACTATATAAGTCAGCAGCAGTATTGTTAAATATCAAATTTGAATAATGAATCTTCAAATGCTTTGGAAAAATAGTATGTATAAACGTAATATCGATTTTAAAGTACATGATTATAAAATACTAGCATAACGTAAATAAATTCCGACCCGGCCAAACCTTACAAATATTTTCTTAAAATAAGAAACATAATTACATGCATACACTCCGTTGTATCTATTTTTCTTGCGGTTATTCCGGGTTAGAGCTTCGTCGCAAGGCCTTGTCAAACCTTTCGGTAGTTTCTAAAAATGAAAATGAGTTTCGTAACAATATAACACCACACGTATGAATAGCTGACTTATTATGTATCATCAAATTTATCGTCGTTATATCAATAAAATTTGAGTTATAAGTATATTCATCGGACACGAGAATTAATTCATGCAACATGTTCATTTCTAGCAGTTAACTGTATCAAATTACATCATTTAAATGTTCAAGCAATAATTTTAGTTTTATACAATTTTGTTTCTGTTTCAAAATATAAATTTTTAAGAGATAGTAAGTCTCCTTTATCCTTTACAGGAACGGTGATATGTTTACAATTAATACACTCGACCTCAAACTCATCTTCATAATCAGTCTTCTTCCTGATGTGTTCAAGAAGGTCAGATATTTGATACCGGCTTCTAACCAAACTCGCTGTATTGTAATACAAATCAGCACTCGGTGGATTTACTTCTGTAATTTACAATGCTTTGTTTTTTAAGAATGATCCTATGTATACATTGACGTTTTGAAAATATTTCACATAATAAACAAACTACTTGAAAAAGTAAGTAATCTTCTAAACTATTTATTCCCATTAATAACTTTATATCTGATACAATCGATATTTCTGACAATAAGGTAAGAAATATTACAGTCATACTATACATATATGTTATATTATTATCCCATACGAATACAGTTATTCAATGAAAGCAAACCTTTTTCGATAAGTTTAGAATTGCCTTCGTCTAATTCTTCTAATTCTATTTCATCAACATCCGTTTCTTTTTCTGTTTTGTTTTGAAGATCTCCATCAATAGTGATAGTGGAATACGTACCATCTGAGACAGTTTTTCTATCATCTAAGTCTATGGCAAAATTATCATACATTGGTTTTGGTTTGCTAATTTCTCTCATACTAGGTTTCTTGAGCTTGTGTGTTTTATTAGGTTGTGCATATATGTAGTCCTGAATTTCATCAACTGCTTCCGTTTTCTTCATTGGTTTTGCATAAACATCTTAAATCATAGAAGAAATGAATAGCTGTAAGAGTTTTAAATAATTACAAGAAAAATATCAATTTCTTTCATTAAACATTAAAGATTATGTGATGTAATGGTTGATGATTATGAAAAACTAAAAAACAAAACAAAAACATTTTCATTGATTTTATGTCACACTGTAACACTGTCGTTATTTTAAACGACTTAAAGTGATAAACTACTGCTAATATATGTTATGTGCATACATGAATCATGTAAATATCTTTAGAGTATTATAGTTTTTATCTTTGTGTAATGCATACTTTGATCTTCTGTAATAACTGCCTCATGTTGATCGGATTCTTCTCTCGGGGATTTTTTTCTGTCGAATAAAGGACAAGTTTCTTCCATAAAATGCATTTTTTTAATAAAACTAAAGGACAATCCATATTATATTATGTAATATGTAAACCTAAAAATGAAAAAATAAAAACGGAATATTTAATCCGAATATAATGAACACACGCATCGATCTCCTAGTTTTATTCCAGGTTAAAGTCTTAAAATGAACTTATGCGTCATGAATGATTGATGCTATTTTATACATTTGCTCTTTTTCCCTTTTATTTACTTACTTACTTCAGCTTTGTGTTAAGTATTCCGGGTGAATGTAAATATGTTCACAGAAAATAATTCATACGAATAATGATTTAAAAGAAATGAGGTCTTATGCAAATTTGTTTATACCTTCGTTTTAGAAAACAAACTCCCACTATTATCAGTATCAAGATTAGAACGCCTCCTCCTGCTGATGCACCTATAATAAGTTCGTTGCTTTCTTTCTTTTCTTGTATTGACACCTGTGTACCCTCAGTTAAAGTTTGTTGTGAACTTACTCTTGTTTGACTAGTTGTTATCTCTGTTCCCTCAGTTAAAGTTTGATGTGAGCTTGCTCTAGTTGTTATCTCTGTCCAAATTGATAAATTCAAATAACAATAACAAAAACACATACAATTAAGATCACGTCAAGCAGATGCAAGCTTAAGATAAAAGATAAATGCATATGCATGTATAAGGGATTGAGCATTATGAAGTGCTAATATTTGCCGATAATGAAATATATGCTATGAGCAAAACTATTAAAGTTTACATGTAAATTTCCTCTTAAGAGCATTTCAACAACTTTATAAAAAGACACACATTTGTAAAATCTAAAATCTTCAATTACCTTAACAAAAATGTAAGTATAGTTTGATTGCTAACCAATAGTGTTGTGTTAAAGCCACCATCAGTTAAGGCAAAAAGTAATAAACAATCTATGTTCTTGTAATTTTAAACTTGATAAAACAATCTGAAATGAATTCATTTCATTACAGTAAAAATAAAACCTTTTACCGACAGTGATAGTTTGAGTGCATTTATCTCCAGTCAGTCCGTCCTTACATCCATCCGTACATGCACCGTTGTTTCTATCACATTTAATATCCTTACATCCTCCAGGACAAGGTTTATCACACGTGTCGCCCCAATATGATTGGTTACATCCGTTTAAACAATATCCGCCTGCATGTTCACATGTAGGTTTACCACTTTGCAATATGCATGCCGGGTTGCATGCTAAACTGCAATAGGTTGAGTGAACATTATCTTTGCACAGTAGACACATATTTCCGTTATCTTTTGAGCACTTTAAACATTTGCTGTTACATTTTTCGGAACATTTTTCACCAGTCCAGCCTTCATTGCATTCTCCTTGACATATTCCAGTAATATCACAATTCGTAGAACATTCTTTTGAGCACAATGATGTGTTTGATACGCATGTTTTACCATTGAAACTTTGTCCCTCTCGACAATCAGCGCATACCAAGGAATCATTGTGTACTTGACATTGGTTACAACCTTGAATAACACAGCCTGGACATTGAGTTTCTTGGTAACATGACACACAGTGAACATTGTCATTAAACTTATAGAGGTGAAAACCATGATGGCAAAGGAAACATGTTTTCCCATCATTACAATGTTTACAATTTGACGGACAATTTTGACATATTGTTTCGAGTTCGGCTTTATACTCATAATATCCAGCTGCACAACCACTCGAACATGTACGTAAATCACAACGTTCATTTTCACATACACTGCAATTGTGTTGACATTTATATCCATAGAAACCAGATTTACATTGTGTACAATATCCAGTATCATCATCGCATTCACTATTTAAACAATTACCATCACAGTTGAAAGAACACCTAAAACCATGATTATGTGGCTTACATAAAGTACAGTCATCATAGCTGTTACATCTTTACAATTTTCGGGGCATGGTGAACAAAAGCCATTTGTTAAATAGTAAGATGATTCGCAACTTGTGCAAGTTGAACCAGAGCATTGGCAGCCAACAGAACATTCTGTAAAATTTTTAATATATATTTCTTTTCCTAATTACTTTTTTCAGTTATATTAATTTCCACATTAACAAGGTATAGAATCACAAAAATGCTAAGTCAGATCTTTTATAAAAATATTAAATTCTAAAATTGACCACACAAAATTATTAATAAAATAAAATAAACTTTAAAAAGTCAACAATTTATAGAAGTAATCAGAAAATTCAAAGAACACGTTTTAACAGAAATTCACACATTTGTATTCTTACAGCATTAGTACAGTACTAATTATCATAAAGTAAAATATCTTACCAGTAAATACCATATCCACAATCAATACTAGTATAAATGCTGACGTTTCCTTAAGCAACATTTTTCTGTATTTCTTTATCCAAATCTAAGAGATAGAATTCTATATATAGATAATAATGTGATCAACTTACGGAAATGCATATGTTTTAGCATAACTAAACGGTGCTGCTTTTAATAATTCTTCTTTTTGTTTTGTTTATATATTTGACTTAAACGCCTTGTAGGTATGTATTTTCTATTTGTAATTTGTAATCATTACAATAAAATATGTTAGACATATCGAATGTATCATGCAGAATTTTAAACAAAAAGAAGCGATACATACAATTAAATTTAACGAATTACTACAATATCCATTATTCCAGTTTAAAAGGAAAAA